ATAATCATCATTAGTTTACAATCATCAAAACCTAATTACTCAACATATTTAAATGTGTAAATGCTAATATGATTAATGATACAATATAAGTGTTAGGGTAAAATTTAGTTACAAAAATGACAATTTTTGTAGTATACAAGGGTAGCTTTTAATACTTCACTTTAGGGTAATAACTTTAAGTCTTTAACCCGAATTACAATAAGTTAATGAAAGTCCACCAAAATTAAGAGTTTGTGTTTATACAAAACTCCTAAATCTTGGATTCAAATTCAATGCTTTTATAGTTTATAGTAGGATGAAATAACCATGCCTAAATTGTTTAGAGCATTTTCAATGGTTATAGTAGTTAAGGATTTGTTTGTAATTTTCAAAACTCACTACCTACTAGTTGGAGCATTGGAGCTAAAATATATATACCATTAGCTTATTACCCCCAAACAAATTAGGTTGGACAAACCAATTTGCTTGTGAAAAAGTTTCCAAAACATGAAAGGTAGATATATTAATAAAATTAAATACTCTGTATAAATGACCAATTAAGAAAGGGGATCTCATTTAAATAATAAGCTATGGAGTATTTAATCATTGTGGTATAAAATAGCTACAAAGTGAATTAGCTTGAAATCTCATGTGGCATGAAAAGCAAATTTGATAATTATCTTGCTATTAGAGTTGCTCGTAGAAGTGGTTCAGATTTGTTTGGTAGATTTACATATATGCTCCCCTTGTTCGAAATTACTTGCAACACTTTCGTGATTAATAAGATGATCCATTTTAGGCTTTGTTTAGTTCATCTTAGTTTATCTAAAATTGATTTTTTATTTATTTTATCTAATCTAATTTTATTTAATTTAAGTTGAACTAAACATATTTTTATTTTATATGAACATATTTTATATGTTAGAAGTTATTTTATTTATTTCGTCTTAACTTATAATTGAATTTTATTTTAATTTTATATTGTAAAGACAATCACCAACACATCTAGAAACAGAGCAACAAAATACACTACAAGAGTGTAGGTTGTGAGCTCACAGTTTGTTTTCCTAGACACCATTTACTACCTCCGTTTCTAATTATATGTAACAAAGGGGTATTATTTGTGAGACATAAAATATTCCTTTATTGCACATAATAAAAAAACAGAAGTAGTATGAAATCTAAGCCTTGTATCACACAAACAAGTATTGGATTGGATCATAATAGATAAAAGCCCAACTAGTGTTGTAGCGGCCAGTTGTATGTAGTCCTATTAAAATAAGAAATTTCTCTACAAATAACCTAATTTATATTAGAAAAAATTGTAAAAAAAAAAAAAAAAAAAAAAAAAAAAAAAAAAAAAAAAACCTTTTAAAAGCAACATTTTGCGAAAAAAAAATCTTTTAAAAGCTTTTTAGTTTAAAAAAACCACCACGTTCATTATTTTGGCGAGAGGAAACCCATTTCCTTAATTATCCTCTAATTAACTTAATTAGATTGTAATTTTCTCCCATTTTTTCTAATTAACCTCTATCCTACCCAATTACTTAATAATTAGATTTAATTTATACATTAAAAAAAAAAAAACCACCAACCAACCACTCCTTCCCCCCTTTCCTCCTCCCTTGGAAGCAACCCCTTTACCCACCGGACCCGCTGCCCAAATCCCGGCACCTCTGTCGATCTACCTCCATCGCCGGTTGACCCTCCCTTTCCCCTAATCCCCATTGGCGACCACCACCCCCTTTGAATTTTTGTCTCTTACTTACTCAAACATGCTCAAATCAAGTCCAAATTGATTGTCATTTGATTCTAAATCACCCTAGCATCACATACATACATACATAAGCAACCCAAAACAAGCATCAATTGCAAGCAAGATGCACAAAATTAAAAACCCCCAAATCAATTTTCTAGGGTTTTCAAAATCAAAGAGGGGGTTGTTGGGCAGTGATTAGGGGAAAGAGAGGGTTGTCTGGCAGTGGAGGAGGTCGCCGAAGAGGGGGATGTGGACAGCGGGTCCGGTGGGGGAGGGGGTTGATGCCATGGGAGGAGGAAAGAGGAAGGAGGGAGTAGGGGAGGAGGAAAGGGAGGAGGAGGAGGAGGGGAGGGGGTGGTGGTTTTTTATATATTAATTAAATCTAATTATTTAGTAATTTGGTGGGTTAGAGGTTAATTAGAAGGAAAAAAAAAAGAAATTAGAGTCTAGTTAAGTTAATTAGAGGGTAATTAAAGAAATAGGTTTGCTCTCGCAAAAAAATGTACGTGGTGGTTTTTTTTACCCAAAAAGCTTTTATAAGGTTTTTCTTTTTGTAAAATGGTGCTTTTAAAAAGTTTTTTTTTTATTTTTTACAAAATTTCCCTTTATATTATAAATAGAGGTTATGTAGTTATGTTTATGTTATTGTAACAATGGTCTTTGGATCTCATAATCTTTTTCTGATCTTAACATTTTGTCTACTAACAACTTCAGAGAAAATCCTGAACCGTTATGCAAATGGGGACCCCTCACAATAAAAGCAATATGTGTGAAATCTAACCCCTACTTGTGAACCAAATTGAGGAACTACAATTGAAGTTCTAGATCTCTAAGGAAGACAAAAAGGACACAGAACTAGAGTCCGCATCAAAAGTATATATATATATATTTTTTTTTTAACGGACATCAAAAGTAATCTTACTACTTATATGATTCATAGTAATTTGTATGAGATTATGTTTGTTTGGATGATTAGAAAGTGTTTCACGAAATTTCACTAATCAGATCTATAAGGTTCCATAAAGTCAATGTATTAACAAGGATCATAAGTATCATATGGAGCATAATAAAAGGCAAAAGGTTGTAACATAAAGATATAATCTGTGCACTAAGGTTCACAACTCTAAGAGACAGAGAATCCAATGTAAAATGATGATGATGTCCCAAAATTAAGTATAGGAGAAAGTTTGTGCGTAAGACACTTGGATTATATGCTCAAGTTATGAAAGAGTGCGATTCACCTAATGACCAATATGGCACTAACTAAACCTCACACAAACGAGAAAATTCAAGTTAGGACATGTTCTCATTGACTGAGCTGGACTGAACTGAATTGAATTGAATTTCAACGTATGAGAACATGCCCTTAATATCCATGATAAACGAGTATTGTTTATATCGTGGCAAAATTTTAATAAAAGTCCGTTGATTTTCGTGCTGGACCAATAAACAATTGTTTTCTCAGCAAAAGCTCTGACATTGGGCACATGGGCTTCAAAAAGAACACTTCACGCCGTTATTGCTCCATCCATCTACCTTGACCCAGCTTTGAGGGTGAGTTAAGCTCACTCTTGCAATTGTCTTCATCTTTGTCATGAGAGAGAAACAAAAAGGCAAGCTCACATAGTACATGAAAATGGCTTTGTAAAACCTTTAATGGAGAAATCGAGAAGCACGAACAACTTCAATGGAGAAGGAAGCAAACCTTGCCCTTAAGGGTTAACCACGCCCCAATTTCTCTAATTTTTCTAGGGTTTTTCGTTTAATTCGACGGCGAAACCGTCAGAAATTCGTCGCCGAAAAGGTAAAAGAGGGTGAAGAAGATAGGGGACAATAAGTTACTAGGTAATGTCAAGCATTCAAGCATGGAGCCATGGCGATTGCCGATTGGTGGCTTCGACTTTTCATTTTTTCGGATCGGAAGATGCAAAATTCCAGTTTGTGTACTATTGTTGGAGATTTTCAGTCTCTAACCATGGTTAGTGTTATCCTCTTAACGCCCATCTAACAGCATAAGTCCATCCAACTAATGTTAACAAAATTACCCTTACTTTTACATGCGAAAAGTCGAATTTATCCTGATACAAACAACCCTTGTTTGTATCAGATATTAACCTGGGCATGCTCCACACAAACCTATAGCATCGATCCAAACAAGAAGACAATGTTAGATATATACTAGATCTGCTGATGGGAGATGCAATGCAAAGGAAGGAAAAGTATTAGTGCATAGGTCCTATGTATTTAGCATGCACATAGGATGGCGTTTTTGTAAATAATGAAAACGTGATGGTGGAAAATATGACGGTAAAATGTACCACTACATGCATAATAGTACATAAAAAGTACTATTCAAACAACTTATACTTTAATGGTACATTATACATGCATAATAGTACACAAAAATGTACCACTGTATCATTAAGAGAGAAAAAATGTACCACCGAATCCTAGATTGCTCCCTACGTGCATGCCAAATACATAGGTCTTATGCGCCTAGATGCACTCAATTTCTCATAGCAGCAGCACCAACCTCCCCAATGCAATAGCTGAGACGACCACGACCACGTTCTTGCTACCAACACCTCCCTACTCTATCCTACACCACACCATTTCTTATCCTACACTACTCCAACTTCATCTTCCACAATCTTCCTCACGCTGCTCTCCTTGTCACCAACATAATTTCCGGAAATTGAAGCTCCTACGAGGGTTTAGTGAGAAAGTTTTTGAAGGAAAAGGGGCTGTGCAGGCGCTAGCCTGGGCATTTGGGCAGAGGGGGCAGCGTTAGGCGGCAAGCCTGGGCGCAGTTGGCTAGTAGTCTAAGGTGGCAACATGGAGGAGAGAGAGGGAAGATGAGAGAACTGGCTGACACAGTGAAGGTGGCTGATTTCAGGGTAATTCATTAAAAGGAAAATGTGGTTGTGGCTTGCAGTCACCAGCCATGCGTGGGTGGAGGAATAGCCGAATAGGTGGTCAGGTTGGAGAAGAGAAAGTATGTAACACATGTTAAAGGATAAATAAAGAAGCATAACCAAATGAATGTATTACAAATTTTACACCAAATGAGATAACTACAACGATTTGATTCAGATAAGCAATGCAATTGCAGCAGATGGTTTGGTCACATGCGGATATTTTCTCTCATGTCATACTGGAAATATGATTCAGTAGCAGTAGCCAGCAGTTCTGCAGCTGAACAAACTTGAGACAATAGTCAAAAAAAAAATAGTAATAAAAATTTGAGATTAAGCTGTCGAAATCTGAGCAATATCGGATGCATATTATATAAGTCAATAATACATAATGTGAACTCAAAATGATCCAGAAGTGTAACAGGCTAACAGCCCCTACATTCAAAAGAAAACTAATGAAACTAACCCCAAAGATATAATTCAGGGAAGACAAGTATAAACTTTTAACTATTTCTCATGTCCTAAAATCCACTAAAAGACCTGAAGTTTTTTTGATTTTTGAAACAATTTCTATAATGAGAATCCTGAAATACATACCAGTTATCATCTTCTGAAAGAAGATATATCCTTGTACGAAGATTTTAAAGATCTATACAGAATAACATCCTAAATTCATTCGATTGCTCGTCACTATTTGCTATAGAATCTCCCTGTCAAAACCGTTTTTTACGCCCAAAAATTTTTGAAAAGAAAAAAGAATCCAAGCGACAGTTCAAGTACAACATCCTCCTCCTCCTTTCCCTTGGTTATTTATCTCAGGTCCTGGAACAATAATCTGGGTTCCCTTTAGAAGAGCTGCATTACTGCTCGCATCATGATCACCGTTGACAGTAAGAGTTTTCTTACTGACTGTTCTGTATATCTCAGTCAGAACGGTTAAGAAAGCCGTCTCAACATTGGTGGAATCTAGAGCAGACGTCTCCATAAAGAAAAGATTCTCTCTCTCAGCAAACTCCTTTGCATCTTCAACCGGCACTGCCCGAAGAGAAGCCAAGTCACACTTGTTTCCAATAAGCATGATCACGATATTTTTATCGGCATGCCCCCTCAACTCATCTAGCCATCTAGCAATGTGGTCAAATGATTGGCGCTTGGTCATGTCATATACTAACATTGCTCCGACTGCTCCTCTGTAATATGCACTTGTAACAGCTCGATACCTGAATGTGGGAGATGATTAGCAGAAGAGAACGCTAAACAAAAATCATTTAAAAAAAAATCAGCAAGAAACAGAAACATTTGGGGTTATTCAACAAATGGGAATGGCATCCTCTTTCTTTCATTTTCCACAGCATACATTACTAACAGGTTTGATACATAAGGTTTAAGCTAAGATGATTATTAAAGCATATACAAAGAGCAGATGAGAAAGCTAAAGGGAATCAGCAAGTACAAGTGAATCATGGGAACATTTTGTCATTCCACAAGCTAAAAACCATGGCTTTGTATCTTAATTGATACATGGGATATAGGCCAATATGTATCAATTAAACATGCTGAATCAAAACTTCTCAAGTTGTGAAGGACTCTGTCATATCACCTGATACTGTTGATACAGAGCTGTGGTGGCCTATACAAACTGAAAAAGCTGATATAACTGATATATAATCAATCAGACTGACACAACACCATGATCCTTTACATGTCACCAGTCACCACTAAGTATTCTTCCATGGTGTGAAATATTGACTGACTGTGACTGTGACTGTGATTGTATCCAAACTAAAAAAGCTAAGGATTTTGTTTGTATAACTATGTTGCTCAAGTAAGCACCTTGTTAATAGACCTTGACCAACACCAGACAAAGCTTACATACAAGACTTTTTATAATGAAAAAGAAAGTAAGACTCTTGCTAAGATAACCATTAAAAGCTTTGCTAAAATACGGCCATAAGAAGCTCTAAAAAGAACAAGTACATGTTTATACATTAATAAATAACAAACTAATTTAGTAGAAGTTTTGATGGAGATCGTGAATAATTCCATACAATCATCACAACCATCAAAATAACCTCCTGAACATCCAAAGGAGAATTTCTAGAATGAACTTTGCACCAATTAACTTCAGATGACCACTCATAAAGAAAAAAAACAAACAAACAAAAAAACACCAAGCAAATAATCCTTATTTTCACGCGAGAACTCTCAACTAAAACTAGAGTTGAGAACTTGAGATCAAAACATGTTTTCCTTTGATTTTTAATTTTTATTTTTCTGAATTGCTGCCTTGGTGGTTGGTGCAATGGTGCTCATCAAACTCCCATAAAGTGTCACTGGATAAAGAGAAAAAAAAATCCTAGATGATGTTTTCATCAACTATAATAAACTTTTAACCAAATCTTTTACAGTGTGTTTGAATGAAGGAATTGAAAGAGATGGGACTATGGGAGAGTAAAAGGTGAATATCCTAGATGATAATTTTCATCAACTTTTACTCAATTTGAAGCTTCATCTTCCACTACACTAAACTACATGTTTTCATCCTTGTTTCAATATTTTCAAGCATCGTCCTCTTTCATTGTGATACTGTCTGCATGTTTAATGACTAAATAATGCCAATCTAATATCCAGATCTAAGACTGCATTATGTGACACTAGTGTTAGCTGGAAAGCATACGTTCTGCCATTCTAGTACTCGAAACAATTATGCAATATAAATCACTTTTGGTTAAACAATCCCTATGATCAATGGTATCAAATTTTGTATTTTGTATGCACGTTCCAGAACATGGTAAGTAGATAAGAAAGGAAGCACAATAGGAAACACTGATTGACATACAAAATAAAAAGCTTGAATTTCAGTAATAGGATGAACAAAATTGGTTGTCATAGACAAGGAAGGAGTGAGAAATTAGGAAACACTGAGAGCTGATAAATGTCCAGCAACGGAGGAGAAAGAGATTCTGGTAACTAGATCTCTACAGCTGTTTAAGGAAAAATTCCCAGTATTCATTACCCTGCTTTCAAAAAAAAGTTACAGGAGATTTCAAATGTGGGCAATTACTTGTCTTTCAAAAAAAAAAAAAATTTGGCAATTACTTTTTCACTAAGTGGAATAAGACTATAAGGGCTAATTGGTGTTTGCATACAGCACCAAAGCATGGAACAATAACTGTCAGCATCTTGCTATGTTGGAAATTAATTTCATTGTCAAGGATTTTGTTTGGACATTCTTTAGAGGATCCAAATATTGTTAATTAAAATTTTATTGCTAAGTAGAACAAGTTGTTGATGCTGAGAACAAAGTGAATCACAGCTAAAAGCGACATCATTACCCAGTCAAACACCCCCCCCCCCTCTTTTCCAAACCCAGAAGGCCCCAACCACAGGTCCAAAACCCATAAAAGAGAAGAAATTCTCAGAAACCTCCTCAAAAGAGCTAGAGAACATTAGCGAGTAAGATGAAGAGTCACAAAATGAAGAGAGGAACAAAAAGATGCAATAATATAAAGCCATCAACATTTTGATCCTCTAGAGAATGTCCAAACAAAATCCTTAGATCATGGCCCCATACTAGTGTAGACAAACAAGTGAAATGACCGATAAGTAGTTTTCTTTTTTCTGGTAAATTATCACTACATATATATTCTAAAGACTATCGCAACAAAAGAAGCAATTTAAAATAATGAAAACTGATAACAACTTAAAGAGGGAGCACATAAAACATGTGCACAATACCAAGGTAATATGAAGGCCATATATAGCCCAAACAAACAGATAAACCAGGACCATATTTCTAGCTACCAACAAAATCTATTGAGCAGATAATTACAAGATACGGTAGCACTTCGCTTTCCTAAAAAGACACAGAGACCCGTATCCAGCTTTCTCTTATCAAAATCTTTTTTCCCCACATAAATCACATGTTGTGTATCAACATCACACAAAAACATTTGATCAAAGGGTACTTCATCACGAATAGCAAAAAAGTTGATAGAATGAGAACTAAATTGCTTATATCATGGCGAGTATAAATTTACAATTCAACATCATAAATAGTCATGATGTATATCCACTTACCACCCAAAAGTCAAATCGTTATCCAACTATCATTCACCTAACTTCTCTTTCACCATTGAGTATATTTTCACCTCGAATTCTATTACGAACTTTAAACACATGCAGAGTGAGGCAAAAGGCTGATAACATTGTTCGACTAGCATTCTAATAAAATCAGCAGTATAAAGAGAAGAACTAAGACATTATAATGATTAACCCATACGTATCAAATCAAGTAAATATTCAATTTTCTTTGCAACTTGAGCACTTCATTCCAACTCAACAAACCCACATTTGAATAAACTCAAACATCCTAATAATATATGAAAATTACACACCCAAATTAAATCGAAACAAAAGATGAAGGTAACATCAAATAGCTAACTACAATCCCCTAATCATCACCTAAAAACAATCCTTGAAAAAGCTAAACAAGGCCACAATTGCTGCAATTCTACACCATACTTTTATAAGCCACAAACATACAGCAGCAGCAGCAACAACATCAATAAAAACAAAGATCATATCAAAATGAAAAGCAACAAAATGATGATCAACCTACAAAATGGGCATTTTACAATTGATCATAAAATGAAATTTTTCAACATGAAAAATATTAACAAAATAATAAGCTAGAAAATGAAATTTGCAAACCTTTCTTGGCCAGCAGTATCCCATATCTGAGCCTTGACGATCTTTTGATCAATCACAAGGGTTTTTGTCTGAAATTCAACCCCAATTGTTGCTTTCGAATCAACACTAAATTCATTCCTCGCAAATCGAGCTAAAAGCTGGGATTTCCCAACAGCTGAATCCCCAATTAATACCACCTTAAAAACATAATCGATTTTCTGATTAAAATCTCCATATAAATTCGACATTCTTTTTTTCGATCAAACAATAATCTTCAAAAATCTAATCCAATCCCCTTAAAATATTATCAAATTCGCTTATAAATGATCGCAGTATTAGGATTATACGCAATCAATTCTTACACCAAGATCGAAAATCAAACAACCAAAATTTCTGGGTAAATTGTGATCAAATTCAAGTTAAAAAAATGGCAGATGGTTCGATCGATAGAATAGGGTTAGGGTTTGAGGATCAAATAAAAATTGAGAAAATTTGATGAATTTGTTGAGAGAAGAGGATCAATTGGAAAACTGGAAAAGAGGAGAGAGAAAAAGAGAGCGAGCAACGGCTGAAGCGGGACCCATTAACGGCTTTTTCCTACCTTCCATTGGAACATTTTTAGAGTGGAGGATCATTACATTTGCGTAACTCTAAATTAATTTAATTTTCTTCTTTTAATTAATTATAATGTGAAGCCCAATTTGTAATTTGACTTCTCTTTTAAGGGCTTATATGCCAACATGACCAATATTTAAGGTTTCGATATTGTGATCCAAGTTTGACTTGATTTAGAAATTTGGATTCAAAATTGATCATATTTGAACGCGAGTTAAATTATTAGTTTTTATTTATTGAAAAACTTATCATGTTTTGGCCTAGTTGGTTTGCTTCGATTGTGCATTTTTTGTGTGTCAATTATGGTGTGGACTCATGCATTCAGCTTAAATTGACATAATGTTTTTTAGCGCGTGAGCTTGACTAGTTGGCAACTATTTTTACTGGATTATTTTTGTAAATCAAAGATTTAAGGAAAGAGCATTGAAAAAGAAATTGAAAAGGCAACTTTACAATAACAAGGAAATAATATATAAAATGAATAAGCATTAGAACCCAATCAGTAGCCATAAACTTGCTTTTCTAAATCAAGTTAAGTACTTCGACCTATATTTCGAAATGACCCAACCGAAAAAATTCAAACCTGAATATGATCCAATTAAAAAGGTTAGTCCTCAAACCAATTGACAATGTAACTGTGCTATGCTTAGCAATAGCAAGATGTGTTACGTTTCTTTCACCAACTCCATAGATCTATCTAGTCTAATATGGAAACATACATATTACTCCGTACTATTGCCCTATTGAATCGTGCCCTAAAAAAAGGTAGACATCTAGGAAAGCTAAGGTAATTTAACTAAAAATATTGATTAATTTGTAAAGCTTTATAATTTTAGTGACATCCATAAATAATTAAGTATATTACTAGTGATCAAAGTAGAATATAAAATGCAATCATCTCTTAAGCTTAGAGCATGCCCAATGGTTAACTAATTGGGTTGGTTATTAGGAGAGAGAAAGTGAAAAAATAATAAAAAATTGAAGAGAGAGAAAAAGTTGAGGGAATATTTCAATTACCTGGTTATTCTCATAATCGGTTATTTGGGGTTGGTTATGCAATAAAATATTGTAAATGGGTGAGTTTTTATAATTGTATTTATTTTATATCGATCAGTTACATATTTAGAGACCGCGAAAAGTCAATGACCTGATGCAATAAGGGACCGCGAGACGGAATACAATATGTTGTTCTAGTCTTTCATACCATGATGTCATGTTAGTCCACCAACCAGACAGCAATCAAACTATGTACTTATCAAGGTTCTTGTTTTCTTAAACTTTCATTGCTTCAATCATCAAGTTAGTTGCAAAGGCTAAGCAAGTTGATAATGCCTCAAAGATATCAAAATTGGAAAATTTATAATAATAAATTATCCTATTATTGAGATACGTAAATCCCTAGTAAGGAAATTGCTAGATTCTATACAGATTAATTGCATACTTATGATCCTTATTTTTTTCTTCCACATACATGGAAATTTAGCAATAACAATTCAACAAAATCTACACTGCTAACAAGGTATCAAAGATCCTCCACATCCTTTGGACGAGAGCAGAAAGGAACCTGAAGTACAGTTGAAAATACCCTACATATTACTGAGTATATGTATATATGCTACCATGCTGCTACTGCTTCCTCTTGATCATCCATCTAAGTGCATCGATTTGCAAGGGAATAAGATTAATTATTACTATGCTATGCTGTTGAGAATTGCTGATTTAGATAACACACTTGCACTTGGCTCGACTGTCACTTAAAACCTGCAAACAGACGGATACTGTCATTATAAGTTGGATACAACACCCCAAGATCATTTTGGTTGTTTACAAGAAATTATCCATTTGCAGAGCTAGTTATTAGGCTTCTAGAAAGGAGCGATGTCTTTAAGACTCTTGATGAGCAAATTGCTATGGCACTATTGGCATTTCGCCCTCTATTAGCTAGCCAGATTATTTACCTAATAATTGAAAGAGAATACAAATCCAATGTGCATCTGATTACAAGAGAATTAGGAGAACAAGCTCTTGTTACCTTATACTGATTTTGAAGATTTTTGATATAATCAACAGCTAAATCCAGCATGTCCGATGTATTGGTTTGCTATATCAGAAAACAGAAATATTAATAGGCATTTACAGCAGAAACATGTTAATTTGGAAGCAAATTCTACATGGACCAACCTTGTCCATGTTTGGAACGAGGTCTTGTAATTTCCTCATTCGTTCACTGATCCTGTTTCTTCTCATCTGAAATCAGACATATAATTGTCATTATCCAGTATCATGATTAATTTCATTACAACTAATGATCGTATTAAGCTTACCCTTTCAGCGATACTTCTAGGGTGTGTTGCACAACCTCTTTTCGCTCTGACCTTACAAGGAACCACGTCCTGGAAATGTAGCAACTTCTCGACAGCAGCCATCTCAGCTGAAGTCTTTGGCAAGCTCAAATGATGTGTCAATCCAGCAGATCGGCTTGTGATACCACCATTCTAGTAATCATTTGAGCATCAATATTAGAGTGCTACTATGAGTTAAGTTCAAGAAGGGAACATTCCTATGTTAAGATGTTTACCTCAGAAAGATGAAGAGATGCATCTGAAGTAGAATCATTCCAAGGAACGAAAGGGTATCCTGTAGGACTAGTACTGTCAAACCCTGCATCACTTTCGTGGTTTCTGAACTTCCCTTCATCTGCACTTGTTTCCTTTACAATTTCATTTCCTAGCTCAGGAATTCGTGGCATAAGGCTCATATTCAGCCTACTTGCACGAGGACTAGATTCACCACTAGTACCGTTCCCTACTCTGAAGTTCCCGATACCCCTCATAATTGTGTACCCTAGAAGTTTTCGTGAAGAGCTTAGCAACAACATAATTAATATAATACTTGACATCTACATTAACATACCTAGCAGAACTTCGTTAAGAAGACACAGATTAGAGGTAGATGCATCGAAAAATTACTCTACTTGTAGCAAGTTACGTTCACATAATGCTTATACGGAATTATATTCTCAACATAATCCAAGCACTGTCATTAAGTACGATTTCAGATAAGCTCAAACTGCTAATCAAAAATCATTCTCTAACCAAACACCCAATTTGCATGAAATAAGATATGCTAAAATAGTAACATGACCAACTTAAGATATTGCATGAAATAAGATTAATAGCTAAAGATAAATGGTGCATAAGCAAAGGTTCAAAACAAGGATAGAATAAGAAATCTGTTTAATAATTTATTGAACTCCCTTGATGTTACTATAAAAACTCATTTCTACCTTTTGCATCTTATCTATTTATAGTAACATTTTTTGTTACGCGTTTACGCCTTCTCGGGCCTTCTTTAACTTAAGATTAACCTAGCAGCTTTCCTTATTTTTGCCTCAAGATATACTAAATTCTATACATTGCAATTAGCCTAAACTCTTCTCCAATGTCTCCCTCCTGCCTACAGTAGTACTTCATTTTTTCAGTTTTATTATTATAACAATATTTTGGAGTTATAGTCAAACATGTCAAGTCAATATAGTTTGGAGTTATACAACTAAAATTTCAAATAAGGCACAGTACAAAATAAAGAGCAAGAACAGATTTTAGTGGACCCTCTATTGAACACCAAAAACTAGCGTCCTCCACAAAATAAGATAAAACTGTCATATAAAACAATTCAGTAAAAAATTTTTTTTAAGAATTATATGAAATGGAGGTAGTACTTTAGTTTAAGAATTATATAATCACAATTTCACATTAATTGCAATGATTAGTCATATAAAATACTTTAGTAAAAAATTTTGTTTAAAAATTATATGATCTCAGTTTCATATTAATTGCAATTATTAGACATTTTTCCTATCTACTTTATGTCAAATCATTTTAAATAATATGAAATGGATGTAGTACTTTAGTTGGTTAAAGCATAGACGGATTCAAGGACGGACCTACTAGGGCCATGTTCCACCCCAAGCCCAGAAAATTTTAAAGTTGTGTAACTAATAACATAGAAAATGGGCAAGCAGAGTTGGTTTTTCACATTTAGATAAAGGGTTTTTTTTTCTGATTTGTTAATTGATTTTTTGTTTTTGCCTGCTTCCATTGAAATAAATTACAGTTTACGGTCCACACTATGTAAAATTCCTGGATCAGACAATGATTTAAATTCTTAAAAGGCAATACCCAAGACTTAAAAATAAATCTAAAAAAAATAGCAATATTAAGCCCCTATCTTAAGGCGGCAGGATAAGGATATACAATTAACTCTGTTGTACTATGTACTGTACATCTTAATTAGTGACCTTACCCTGTACCCACTATTATTATTATTGTTTTTTTAGAGCGAGTCTTCAAAAATGGTCATATAGACTAGTAGACGAAATTTGATCTTGATTGCAATTTTATAAATCACTCTTCAAGACTTTAATCAATTAAAACTGGCTAACACAATTAAGCTAGGTAGCATTCACACTATTATTGCTAATATTCACTCTTTACTTTTGGTATTAATTACTAAGCTGATGATGTAATATAGAATGAATAATTTTTTAAACAAGGTGGGTCTCTCTCTCTGCATTGAAATTTCCTCACAGGCACCGTGACAACTAAATCCGAACAAATATACTCCGTAATACATACGGAGTAACACAACACCAATACTCAATCTGGAAACTTAAATTAATATTGCAAAAATTTACCAAAAACAAATTAAGAAATAGTTACCATTTTGGGTGTTATTAAGATGATTGAAGAATCCAGCAGGGGAGCTACTCTGGCGATTAAGATTCAAACCACAATTACCCTGTCTCGTCGTCAAGAGATTGATTGTTGATCGATCCATTGAACTTGAGGTATTTATCTTCGGATATTGAGGAGGTAACTGACTACTCTGTTCGCCACCGCCACCGCCGCCGCTGCCTACCATTAGATTCTGAGGCTTTCTTTCATATGATTCAAAAAAATCATCTGTAATTCTGCCATTGAACTTCTCAGAATCACTGGAATTTTGGGTTAATTCATTGAATAAAGAACTTGGAGCAGAGCGAAATCGCAATAACCCGGAATTATTCTGCTGTTGTTGATGATGATGATTATGACTAAGGAATTGGGGTTCTATATAAGAATCCATAACACCAAAAGCTAAAAGAGGAAAGTATATATTGTTGCAAAGATTTCTTTACTATTTTTAGATGATTGAAAAATAAAAATAAAAATAAAAAAAACTGAGTAATAAGAAATAATCAAAGGTTTCTATAATCGGAAAAATTCTAAAATAAGTGTTGACTTTAGTTTATAATCACCACTAATACCAAATGAGTAGTGACGGATCTAAGAATTTGGAACAAACTTCAAAAGAGGAAAAGGAGGACAAAGTTGACACGGGTCAACGAGATGTTATACTCCCTCCGTTTCAGAATAACTGCGATGTTATACTCCCACCGTTTCAGAATAACTGCGATAGCTTATTAGTTATTACAAGGATTGTCATAGTTTGAGCCCTTTGAGGTAAGTTTAGGATTGAAAGGGTGTAAGACTAAGAGAGAGAGGAATAAAAGTAGGAGGGGACAAAGGGGGCCTAGATTTTGTCTACACCGAATCTAATTGCAAGATTTGGGAGATAATGAGAGGTACACACAAATACAAGGTAGTAATATTGTGTTAGATTGTTATGTTAGCGCTATGTATATCATTTTCCTAAAATTGATTAACGTTTTGTGTTAGCGATGCGAGAAGAGAGCAGCAGTAAAAGCAAAGGGAAGGGAGAAAGAGAGAGGAGGTAGGAGAAAGCGAAGGCTGCGGAGGTGGTGGGTGGGTTGATGAAAGTGATAACAATGAAGAAGACAGCCACAAAAAATTAAAAATATTAAAGAAAAGAAAATGAAAATAAAAGGAGAATTTGTGGGTTTTTATTTAATTGATGTAGAAAATAATGGGAGTTTGAAATGTATTTCCTAAAGAGGAAGTAGTTTCCACAAATGCGAAGCATATCTTTCATTTATTCCTTTCTCCTTTGGTTGTCTCCATGTCTTGCTCATCCCGCGCCGCCACCCTTCACCACTCTTTTCTTTTTCTTTTTCTTTTTCTTTTTGTTTTAACATAAATTAGGAACCATTCTTTTTTTTCTTTTCTTTTTTTATTTTACATTTATGTTTTTTGTATTTTACGGCACACGTAAAGCTATACAAAAACTAGAATAGACCCGATCTACAATAACTTATTGTAGACTCAACCTTCTTATATACCATACGAATGTGATTATATCATACGAGATGTGATTATATTACTACAAAAGTGATTATATCATTTTGAAACTGTTATGTAAATATATAACTCAAAAAGTGAATTTATCATTATAAAAAGTATCAAATAGTAAATTACATCATTCAAAACATGTTTTTTAAATTTTATCATCCTACAGATAATTATATAATCTCATTAAATGGTTTAATATGAGATTATATAATTCAAAAATATGACTCACAAAAAGATAATTATATCATCTAAAAAGGTGATTATATCATACAGAATGTGATTATATTATTTGAAAGTGTCAAATTTTGGGGCTACAATAATTTATTGTAGACCGGGTCCATACAAGACCAATTGGTAAAGCTAAGCCTATAAAGCCCCACCAATTACTAAACTAAGTTTAATCTAATTGTTCCTTTAAAAAAAAAAGTTTAATATAATTGTAAGGATTCTATCTTCCAATTTTGAGAATAGGGTAACGACACTTTAAGAAAGAAGATCTCTTACCATTTTCCCCTCACTCTTAAAGTCTCTAACCTGCATATATCAGACCAAAAACCTGTAGAGGTTAAGGTACAGTTAGGTTCATTCTCCTTACCTTAAAAAAATATATATCTTCTCGAGGTTTTTTTAGTGCAACACTTGACCATTATTTTCTTAAATCGCTATAACTATTTGATAGGCCGTCAAGCCTACCAAAGATAAAGTCCTATCTTGGTCTCACTAGCTAATAGCAAGGGTAAGAAAGGGTCGTACCTAAAGGAGGCGTTGAATCAATCACCGAGATAATATCGTTTAAATAAGCTAAATGAAGTCGAAATTGGGTTGGTTTCAGTAACTTCTACTAATTAAATCAACTAACACTAAGAGGAGATTAACAATAATTAGAGGGTTCTAGGGCTCGGGTTATACCACTCAACTTCATCACAAATCACAATTAGCGTGTAACAATCAAGGTAAATTAAAATGAAAATATAGGGGAAGTCATCTAAAGCATCCAACTACTCTCTCAAACTAGATGGATTAATTACTTGAATTATGAATACAACCTACTCTTGTGGTCACAAAGCATAAAACAAGTATTAAAGCATAATTACGATGACAAAAACATTCCCTTGACTTGAAATTCTTATTCTCATGGCATTTCAAGTCAATTAAGCATAAGGGAGCTAACTCAAATTCATCTCGATCCTTCGTTGAGAAAGCTTGGGTAAATAGTTCTAGCAATCTCCATATACAAGAACTAAGCAATTAAACCACTTAAGCTCAACTAATTAACACCCAACAACTACCAAATTAGCACATGCAACAAGTAATTAGTGACTACAGTGAAGGTTTTACCCAAACCCTAGAAAATTAGACTACTCACAATCCATGGAGATTAAAAGCAATTAAGAATTCAAGGAATTCATGAACAAGATTTAGACTAAAGATTAAGCTAAATAACAATCTAAGCATACAAGAATTAAGAAAATATTTAGCAATTAAAGCAATTAAAATGGAAGAGAAGAGTAAGAAATGTTACCATAAGCTTCAGCTTTGAATAACAATGGTGGAATTTATCTTCTACAATGATTGAGATTGAAATTTCCAAGCTAATAATTAAGATAACTAATGATTTGAGAGTTTTTGTGTTTCTAAGATTACAAACTAAGAGAAAATCTCTAAAAACTTGGATGATGTACAAATGAGCTCAAGGGGTTATTTATAAGACCCCCAAATAAAAAAGACGGAGAAACAAGATTCGGGCAGGCTTGCACGGACGTGCCAGGCTTGGCACGGACGTGCAGCCTAAGTTGCACGGACGTGCCACCCTATGCAAAGACAGAGGATTAGAAGCAGTTTGTTCCTGTTTTGGCATGGAAATCTTGCGCGGATGTGCCAAGTATGGCACAGACGTAAAGGCCTTGAAATGCATAATCAGTTGTGAAACTGATTTGGGCTGGACAAGCTGCACGGACGTGCTGAGTATCCTGCACGGACGTGCTGAGTATCCTGCACGGACGTGCCTAACTCTGCACGGTCGTGCAAGCTTTGAATGCCACAAGCAGAAACTTCTGATCGTCTTAAAACACTCCTGCACGAACGTGAAAGGTATGACATGGCCGTGCAGGCTCTCTTAGGCCCTTTTCTTCACCTTTTCTTTGGTTTGCTTGTTTGTCTTAGCTTCTATCCTTGGTTCAACATCCATATGTTTTAAATGATCGTCATTGGACCTAAAAACTCAACAAAAACAATAACAACTCGTGAAGCATAGGATACACAAAATTTGCATAATAATAGAGTAAAAGTGAACCAAAACATCATTTTATCAAGGAAACAAAGTTCAAAATCACCCTAAAATCATATCGAATATCAAGTTATCACTATTTTAACCCTTTATAGCATTATATCATTTGTTTTGTCAAAAATTCAAGCCTAATTCACAACTATCATAAGTGCAATAAGTTGAGTGAGGAATGAGGAGATTAAGGGATGGTTAGTCATGGGGATTTGATTCCTCGTTAAAGGGTTTAAGATTTATTGTAAATGAGTCGTGTTTAGGGTTTCTTGGAATTTAGGCCCCAATCAACTCTAAAAAGCCCCACTATAGGGTTTGCACCAAGGGCATTTATGTAGGGGTCGAGTTACTTTGTAATTCTTTTACAAATGGCCATATAGTGTGGTCAGCCGCACAAAAAAGGCATTGATAATGTTAATAATAATAATAATAATAATAATAATAATAAAATAAAAATAAAATAATAATAATAATAATAATTATAATTTCACGATATCCTTGTTGATATTTGTTTTCAGTTCAGGATTTCTGCTCGAAAGAGTATAATGTTGGGTTGACTGGAGGAAACGATGGAGCTCATCTTCGACTTACAGATGTGTTGCTTTATTCTTGCGATAGAAGCCTGGATGTGTGTGTTAACTTGACGGGGTCTTCTCCTTTAACACTATCAAAGATGGCTAATTTTGTTCCTGGTCATGTTGTGTCGGTTGCTGCTCAGCGAAAGCAGGACAAGTATGGGGCGTGTTGCAAGGCTACTGACTATGGTTTTATTCCCTTCTCTTTTTCTTCATTGGGGGAAATTAGAGAAGGATGTTGTTGAGTTGCTGAAGCAGGTTCAGGCGCTTGCAAGGACTCTAGATATAGGTGCTCGTGCAGCTGCTCAAATCTTTAACAGGATCGGGTTCGCTATAGCTGGAAGCAGGGGCAAAGCCAGGAATTGAAACCTAAGGGGGGCGAAACTTATACAAATAAAATAGTACTCCATATTATATTTTGTACGTTTTTTTCATTATTAAATTATTGTTCATGCACTAATACAATTACCTTTATTTGATCATATATATTTTTAAAACCACTTATTTTAACTTTTAATAATTATTAATACATCTGTTTCTTATGACTTGCACCAAAGGAATTTTTTTATATCTCACAATAATACCGCTTTTGTTGCAAATAATAAGAAACAGGGGTAATATTAAAGTTATCAATGGTTAATTTGTATAATATGATTATAAGTAGTGGTTCAAAAGTAAAATCAAGAAAAATGAATAAAATATTGGAATAAAATAGTAAATGGGCAAAATTAATTAAATGAAAGATGTAGTAACCAAAGAAAATATGCGAGAACTAATAAAAAAAACATTAGTATGGAGTACGTACTAAAATACATAATCAGAGGGAAAAAAATAGCATATTGCAACGATATGAATTACCACTAAGCTATAATTTTTTTGGTGTATTACTGTAAGAAACATTTACTATTTAACCTAATTTTAAATGGGGCCAGCAGTGAAAGATAAAAGAATTGGCGTTTGGGCCACGGGGGTCGGGCCTCCACCAGCCCCCCTTGGCTCCGCCACTTGTTAAAGGAGGGCCCATATTGTACCTCAGCTCTCCACTAATTTCTTGTAAATTGATTAACTTTATAGGTTTTTGTTAGTAATAATAATAATAATAATAATAATAATAATAATGGGATGGTGGGTATTGAACATCAACATAATGTTGTTCATGATACCCTTGTTGATATTTGTTTTCGGTCCGTGATTTCTGCTCGAAAGGAGGTTAACGTTGGGTTGACCGAAGGAAACGATGGGGCTCTTCGACCAGCGGATGTATTGCTTTATTCCTAGGACAGATGCCTTGATGTATGTGTTGACTTTACGGGATCTTCTCCTTTGACACAATCAGGATTGTCTGACTTCGTTCCTGATCGTGTTGCGTTAGTTGCGACTCAACGGAAGCAGGACAAGTATAGGACGCATTGCAGGGCTATTGGCTATGGGTTTCTTCCTTTTTTCTTTTTTTTTATTCTGGGAATTAGAGAAGGATGTTGTTGCTTTGCTAAAAATGGTTCAGGCGTTCCCTAGGATATTAGTGCTCTTGTAGTTGCTCACATCTTCACCAGGATCAGATTCGCTATAGCTAGAGGGGGTGGGAGGCTCAGATTGTGTCTCGGCTCTCAACTAATTTCTTGTAAATTGATTGACTTTGTAGGTTTTTGTTATTATTATTATTATTATTATCATTAATGATAATAACAATAATAACAACAACAACAACAATAATAACAATAATAATAATAATAATAATAATAATAATAATAATATCTACTCTACTATGTTCTGTTTGTTGTGTTATGCTCATAAGCTCAAAAGGAGATTACATTTATTCTTTAGGACATGACTTTGTAGGTTTTTGTTATTCTTTTTGATTACTTTTAACCTAAAGAATAACAAAAGAATACTTTGTAGTCGTGTTTGATTAATGTGGAACAAGTTAATGAAAAATAAGAACGA